ATATGGTGAATAGGGTTTACAAAAACCTTTAGCAGACGCATACTTATGTATTTATAGGCTTTATGTGAAACCCTAAATTCAAATCCTAAACCAACTACAAGTGGGCTCAAACCTAAGACACGATTTAATTTAAGCAAAACCCTAAGTAAATTCACGTAATTAATTTAGTCCATTTTAAAATAAAATCTAATTACAAACACATGAGATTAAAAATAATTAACCACATAACATAAAAATAAAACCATTTAATTTAACGAAAATAAAGCACAAGTAAATAATAATAAAACAACAAGTAATTCAAATAAAAACACTTAAATAATTAAACCAATTAAAATAATTCAATAAAATGCAATTAAATATAATAATTAAATTCCAGAATTGTCCTTTTAAAATTAGGGATATTACACAAACACAATTTTTTTTTTGAAATTAATTCACAAAAGCCCAAGAATATATGGATTAGAGACCTCTACCTCAAGGAGGATGAAAAACCCCCAAAATGGGTCTCAAAACCTGAATCCCTAGAGTGCACTAAAACTAAAATTGCTTATATGGATGTGAAGATCTCGCTGTGCTTTTCGAATTGCCGCAAATGGCTTCCAAAATTTCTAAGTATTGAGGAAGAAATCAAGGTTTGTAGCCTTGATACCAAATGAAAAAGAAAAAGCAAAGAAATGGGGTGAGAGAGACTAGTGGGGAGAGAGAGAAAATAGAGAGGAAATGTGAGACCTAAATGGTCTCTTAGCCAATTATAGTGGTGGTGGGTCCCACCACCAAAAATATTTTCTTTTTCTTTTATTTTTCTTCTCATTTTACACCACACACAAATATATATACACATATACACATATTAATTTACAACCACATAAAATACATTAAATAAAATGATTATGATGTATATGGACCCAAACAAAAACCCCATACGCAACAATTCCGGTAGCGGGTCCCACACGGAGTTGTTCGGCTCGAAAAACGAAAAAATGCAAAAATGATCATCCTTGCATGTCAAAGAGTCATGGACTTAATGAAATGCTCCAAACAACTCTCGGACATAACCGACACTCGCAAAAGTGTTCGGTACGCAAAACGACAAAAGACGAAAATGCTCTCACTGTGACAAAATTTTCGAAAAAATGAAAAATGGCGAAAATTTGGAAACATCACAAAAAGTTTATAAAAATAGGGTCAAGTGCAAAAAACACCCCTAAAGCATATTTACAGTGCATATCATACCCCTCAAGTGCATAAAACACTCATAAAGTTTCAATTTGATGCAAATAAGTCCCTTGACAAATTTAAACACTAAGTTGACTAAATTACCGTTACTGAACTATTTTATAAAATATATAAAAATAAATAATTTTATAAAATGATCGGAAAAAAAAAACTGTTTGAGAATGTCCCTTCTATGTAAAAAAATACTCTTAAAATTTTAATCTAGTGCAAAAAAAAAAAAAAAAAACCCCTAAAATTCACGTTGTTCCGCGCCATAACACTTTATGATCATGATCAATTGATACACCGGGTTGTGTGTTAGACTGTTGGTTGTGTGTCAGGGGGACATTTCATGGTCTTATTTACTGGTACACCCCTTATTCGAATTTCGAACTGTAGTATATGATTTAACATTTCATGGTCTTAATGTCTTATTATATACGGAGTACTAGGGTGGAATTCGAATAAGGGGTGTACCAGTAATTCTGGTGGCATCTTTAATAAATTCAATTTTTAGATAATAATTTTGTTTGATTTACCAAGAAAACATTTATGAATATTTTCTATAGGTTGGCTATTTTATTGAGACTCGGTGACATTAAAAAAAAAAAAAAAATTAATAATAGTTATTACAGATGCATGGTGTTGTACTTCAACCTATTAAATGCAACATCTAAAATTGTAGATGATGTCTACACCTTAATGATATTTAAGTGTGCCAGATGTAATTAATTAATTACTAGAGTCAATCGTATCTAACTTCATCCCAAAGGCTAAATTTTATATAAATGTACCTGTTGTTTACTAGAGCAACATGGGCATTAACGAGTGCTTCATTGCAAAGATCTTGTTACCATTTTGTGTATCTTCAATTACGTGCTAGTATTTTATTTATATATAACATAATATAATTACGTGCTGGTATTTTTTTTTTTTTTTTTAACGGAAAAACTTTAACTTAATTAAAAAATACAAAATAACTACTAATAAAAGTATGCATGAGGAATCATTGCAGTTACTATTTAAGTGCTATAATTTCTAAATGATCTAGTTGAGGCACGTGTTCGTGTGGTTAAATTGTTACTCATTGTGAATTTGTGAGGCTAAGAGGGAACTCTAGTCCTCTCTTTCATAGTGTGAGGGACACGGAATAATATGATATATATATACACACACACACATATATATTTCTGAAAAGTAATTTATTCTCTATTACTGATTAAAAAAATAAGAAGGTATATATACTAGATGGCTGGTTGCTTATGGAGACGAATGGCATCAATTCTGAATAATCCATATTCTTGCTGCTAGTTGATACAGTGATATGTGTGCTTTCTCAAATCAATAGAAGTCTCTCTTTTATAGTGACACAAGGATGTTGATTTTTGGCTGTTGACTTATAGAGGCTGAGGAACTTTTTTATATACCTATAAAATTCTAGTGTTGCCCTTCCTGAAATTAGAAAAAAAATTCACTTTTACGCGTCACGCTTCACTCAATTTCCCGGGTCCATCTGTGACTATGCCCAGTGCAGCATGAGTAAGATTTTTTCATATTTGGTGAGAGTTATTGAGCAAACATGTGTTATTGAAAATGAAGAGTTGGTGACTTTTTTTCAAGCAAACTCGGAAATAGCGCAACTGATACGGAATATTAGACACCAAGAAAGTTCAGGATATTAGACCAGTAAAGAAGTTGAAGTGACGTGAAAGCTCAAGAATCGAACAGACTACAAGTAATGAAAATAAGAACAAGTAACTTTCGTACTCCATGGTAAAAAAGTCAAGGAACCGGTATCACTTTCAAGACTCCTAGTGGTTAACTATTAAGGTACCACACAATTAAGACGGTAGCTGTCGTTGTTTGTTTGTTTTTTTTTTTTTTCCATTAATAGTTGGTGTGCACCGAGCCGACACTATGTCGATCTTCATTTTTATGTTCTTGAAGAAAAGACCGTCTATTCTGAATTGTGATAAATTTTACATCAACATATATATTAATTATATTTTTCAAATTTTCTAATTCGAAAGTATTGAGAAGAAAGAGCAGCAATAATCAATAAAACCCTCCTCTCTTCGACCACTCAACCAACATCCAATTCTCTTAATTTTCTTAGCTGACTATTGCAAAGTACATCCAAACTGAATTATTTCTAGTGGTTGGAGTGTTGCTGTGAGCCTAGACATACAACTAGATAGGGGGGAATAGAATTTTATATAAAGGGTGAAAGAGTCATTTACATTGCAAGATATTATTATTATTTTAATATTATAAATTGAAGGACATTAAATGACATTGAGTCAGTGCAATGAGGAGGCTACACACAACTAGATTTTTTTGGGGTATACAAGGGTAAAAGAGGCATTTAGATTGCAAGATATTATTATTATTTTAATCTTACAAATTGAAGGACATTAAATGACAATTAGGTCAGTGCAATGAGGCCACATACAACTAGATAGAAGGGGGGAGAGTTTTATATAAAGGGTGAAAGAGTCATTTACATTGCAAGATATTATTATTGTTTTAATCTTATAAATTGAAGGACATTATGACAATGAGGTCGGTGCAATGATTCATGACCACGCCATTAAAATTTAAAATACGTCATGTTTTGTTATTTTTTGTCTTGATCTTAAATTGTTTTTTGATTAATAACTTCAAAATCACTATGTTTTGGTAGGGTGAGTTTTAAGGGAGAGGATAGCATTAGTTATATCTGCTCGTGTAGAAGGGAATAATATTACTTATAAAGTAGTAATTTTTGAAAAATATTCTTCAAAACAAATTACTCTACTACCAAGATAGACCACTTAGAAAAGAAAGGGAAAGAAAAAAGAAAGGGAAGAATAATTTTGGTCTCGTGTTTACCAAGATAGACCACTTAGAAGAGAAAGGGAAAGGAAAAAGAAAGGAAAGAATAATTTTGGTCTCGTGTTTGGTTGATTATTGAATGGAAAAGAAAGAGAAGGATAATAATCATGTTTGGGGAAGAAAAGATAAGAATAAGAAGGAAAATTATTTTAATAAATTTATTATTATGCCTTTTTATATTTTAAAATATAAATTTATATATATAAAGGATTGGCCACCAGAAAATGAAAAAAAAATTTAGAGCAAATCATTTCAGCCTCCATCTCTATTCTCGTCCTCAACACTGAACTTGCCCTCTCTCTTTCTCTCTCTCTCTCTCTCTCTCCAACTACAAATACAAGAAGCAGCTGAAGTTCAAAACCCATATATTTCAGTTTATATATTTGTCTACAAGAATCAAAACTATAAATCCTATATCGGCATCATTTCAGATTATTCAAAAAATCAAAACTCAATTTCAGATTGTTCAAAAAATCAAAACCCATATCGATCTTTCAGTTTCCATCGCCCACGGTTCCAATTCGGGTTCGCTTTCGCAAGCTTCAGCCATTGGCCCTCTTTCTCTCAACTCTCAAGCTTCCCCCCCCTCTCTTTGTGTAACTGCTAAATTAACTAATCAAGGTCTGTAATTCTTATTTTGCAAACTAAATTCACATGTAAATTAAGGACAAAATTGACATATGAAATCACACACCAAACCTCTCATTTCCTTTTCCTTCATTTCCTTATATTTTTGGAAAGTTAAGAAATTTATTACTAAAACCTTGTGTTAACCCTCCAAAATTTTCCCTTTCGTTCCAATAATTTTTATCGAACACAAATATTTAATCCCTCTCTGTCACTTTTCCTTTCCTTTCTTCTTTTTGTCATTGCACCAGATTGACCCTAAAGTGGGTTTAAGAGTGGGAGTGCGAACCGATAAAAATTTAACTTAAGTGGAGGAAAATAACAAGAAGAGCATGCAAAGCTACATGAACGAGAAAGCACAAAGCGTAAAAAGACACATGTTTAAAAGAATTATGTTACTGGATCAATTCTTGATTCTTTAGTATTTATTTATTTATCATTATTTAATTTTGTAGGCCAACGCCCTATAGAGTCCTTCCATGCTATATATATATATATATATATATATATATATATAGTCAAGATATAGAAGTGACCCTCTCAACAGCAGTATACATGGAATCTGAAAGCAATATGAGCTCAATTAGTGCCACTGGTTCCCTCAATCGACGCAGTTTTCCAAATGATTTTGTGTTTGGTACTGCTTCATCAGCTTATCAGGTACATTATACATTTCTCTCACCGGAGCATTATAATGATTTTGTGTTTGTGTTTGTATTGTACCATTTTCAGGCGTTTGAACTGTATTTTATATTAGTGGGTGGTGAAGTAATTCATTTCATTTATTTTTGAATAAATTTCAGTTACATTTCGTGATGTTTGCTCCATATTAGTGACACAAATTAGTCAAAAATCCATCCCTAGTCTCCTCTGCATCGTCCATCCTTCACCCTCAGAACCCTAACTTTTCTTTCAATTCGATCCTCGAACCCCTCCTTCGCGGACGTGATCTTCAGATCCTTCGATGGAGACCACAGCAGCAGCGGCGAGATCAACCGTCACGATAGCACCGGAGCATTATCCTCCACGCCGTCGTCGAACTCTGAGTGATTTATGAGGTATTCGATTGAGTTTGACCGATTCAATTGAAGGTGTCATTGGATTGGATCGGCCGCTCTGTTGCTTCCTGGGGCTTAGTTGCCCTAATTGATTTTTAAGGATATTTCTTTTTTATTTTTTTATTTTAAATTTTGGCTGTAATCATGGATTGATTGATTATATATATATATATATATATATATATATATATATTTTAGGATAAAGTGCAAAAAAAAAAAAACCCTCAACTATATCTAGATTTGCAAATAATTCTCCTGAACTATGTTTTGTACATAAAATCTCCTAAACTATTATAAATTAGTTGCAAAATGTTCCATTGTCTTAACTATTTTTCATTAAATGACCATAATACCCTTTCTTATTGAATTACACTTGATGAAATATTTTTCTTGTTAAAATAAATTATGAAAAAAATTCATACTAATTTGATGAAATATTCTCCATTAAATTTGCATAAGTTTGCTTTTAATTTTTTAAACTAATCATTTAAATAAAAATTTTAAATGGAAAATTTTGAAACAATTTAAGTAATTTCTTAATTTTCATGAATATATCGCATTAAAAAGAAGATATTTTTTATTTACGTAATTTATTAATTTTTCATCAATATTGTTTGAAAAAGAAGATATTTTTTTATACTATTTTTTTTTAAAGTGGGTATAATAAGTTTTATTATAATAAGTTAATCATTTTAGAGAATGATAGTTACAAATTTATTTATTTTTTTCCATTTTTATAATCAATTAATACTAATTATAAAATTAAGGTAAATGGTATAATTAATATTTAAATAAGAGAAAATTTAATAAAAAATAATTTAATAAGAAATTACAAATTTAATAACAAAGGGTAAATTTGTATTTTGTATTACGTTTGTCCTTAATTGCAATAAATCAATAATTTAGGGGGTCAATCTTTAGTTCAGGGGGGGTTAGGTGCAAAAAGCCAATAATTCAAAGGGTTTTTTTGCACTTTACCATATATTATATTTATGTTTTTTCCTTCAATCTAGTCTTCCTATGATTGTTGATTTTGTAATGTGTGCCCCTTGTTTCTATCTCAATTTGGTTTGCTTTTTTATCATCAAATTCTGATAATCTTTAAAGCAACTGTGGGTTTGATTGAAAAATAATATTGGTAAAAACATATAGTAGTTTCATATCAGTTGCATTACAGAGTAAGGAGTGCAATTTGGTCACTTAAATTGTGTCTAATAGAGTTTGTTTAGCAACTTTAGGTTTTTTTCCAAGTCAAGTGAGAGGCGAAGGGTAACCATATCATTTTGTATGGTATCAGATCTCTGCAAATGGTGGCAGGGTGTTTGTGAATTACCTTACTGACCTGAGGGGTGCATTGATGACAATCGCCATAGTTTGTTTCTAACTGACATTAGGGCGAACCTCAGAGGATATTACTGAAATTTATTCTTTGTTTTTTGTTCAGTATGAAGGAGCAGCAAGCGAAGGTGGTAGAGGACCAAGTATATGGGATACTTTCACACAAAGATACCCTGGTCTCTTCTGTCTCTCTCTCTCTCTCTCTCTCTCTATATATATATATATATACACACACTACCATGTGTGTGTGTTCTTTTGTTAAAAATGTTTTATGCAATTTACAGGTAAGATAATAGATGGTACTAATGGAAACATGGCAGTTGATTCTTACCATCAATACAAGGTATTCTCAAACTTTGTGTAATCCAATTTGACATCATGTGTCATTTGGGCTAATTGATCAGTCACTTTTTAGGAATTCAAATATATTTAGATCACTTAACTCTAAACCACATTGTAATATTAGTATGAAATTGCAAGATTTAGTGGGAACTTCCTTAACCATGTTGTAGCCTTGTAGGAGGATGTGAAGATCATGAAGAAAATTGGTCTAGATGCATATAGATTCTCAATCTCATGGTCTAGAGTATTGCCAAGTAAGTACTGAATTTTACCATCCTATTCTGCTATGCATTCATATTTGGAATTCCCAAGCAACTAGAAGTATACAACCATACTTAACATTAGAAATTTCAAAAAGAATTTTTATTTTTTATTTTTTCATTCACAACATGCCTCTAAGAGAGCTTGAAATTTCAACCTCTCCTTTTGAGAGGAGAGAACATGTCAAAAAAGGATTTTGAAACTAGAGAATATTGTTTATTCTTGATTGTAATAGAAACCAAACAATAAAATCCCTTCTCAAGACGGACATGAAGTATTGGATTTAAATAAATAGATTGACCTTCGTATCACTGAGTAGAGGGAATAGCTTATTATGAAATCGAATCATTCTGTCAGCTTAACTAAGCAATTTAGTGCGGCATTTTAGCCCCTTTGTTATTATGCCATTTGCAAGTTTTTCATAAGCATTTGATACAAATTTGTATATATATATATATATATGTTTTGAAAGGTAAATGTAATTGTATTAATGTACAGGCCCAATAAGATTGGGCCAAAAGCAGGCCTAAGCCATTACATGCGTGAGACTCTAGCCCAAGCCCAACACAACTTTTTGCCTGTGAAAACTATATTTAAAAAAAACAACCCTTATGTAACAGTTACTAATCCGGTGATCTTAGCAGCAAATTTGTGATGGCATCAATGGTTTATCATCCTTTAATTCGTAGGTTAAAATTTTTGATTCTCTTATTCTAAATTGTTCATTTTATAAATATTGGAATTATGTCAGCTGGAAGTCTAAGTGGGGGCGTGAACAAGGAAGGAATCGACTACTATAATAACCTCATTGACGAGCTCCTAGCTAATGGTTGTGATACAACTCCTTTTTTTTTTTTTTTTTTTTTCCCATTATTGTTAAATTGTTAACATGTTACTTAACATAGTTTTCATCTTAAATTGCTTATGCTATCAAATATATACATGTTTAGGGATAAAGCCCTTTGTGACCCTGTTTCACTGGGATCTTCCTCAAGCCTTAGAAGATGAGTATGGTGGCTTCTTAAGTGGTCGGATTGTGTAAGTGGCTGATTTTCATCTTACAATCCTTTTGTTTAGTTGATTAGTATTTTTTGTATTAGGTAAATACTCACACACATATTACCCACATCAGTCATTTTATAATAAATCAGGTAGGGATAATGAAAAATGGAGCAGATCTGGAGTAGACGTGTTAAATTAAGTCTAATTTCATATTCTAAGATCAAGGTTCATTTGTGGATTTGAATCCAAGTCATATTCAATCCATATAATAATGAATAGTCCAAAACAAATTCTAATATACTAAAAGCCATATGGGAGGTCCGTGTCATAACTTTGTACATGTGGCATTTAAGAGAAGAAAACTACTCCAATTCCAAGCAGAATTATAGTACATTGTAAGACTTAAAGTGTGTGCCTGAAATTCTAAGGATATTGTGCATTTAACTAATACCATTTAATCTGCTTAACAGGTCAGATTTTTGTAATTATGCCGAGCTTTGCTTTTGGGAATTTGGTGATCGAGTGAAGCATTGGATCACGTTAAATCAGCCATGGACTTACAGTGTTTATGGATATGCCGATGGTAGCCTCGCACCAGGTAGAGGTTCTTCTTCGCCTGAGCCTATAAGGAGTCTCAATCAACAACAAAATTGCTCCTATGGAGATCCAGGAAGAGAACCATATATAGTGGCACATAATCAACTTCTTGCGCATGCAACTGCGTTTAATTTGTATAAGGAGAAATTTAAGGTTTTACACTTAACCCGTATGATCCATATATTAATTTTTACATTATTGTTTTTATTTTATTTTATTTTATATTTTTTATGTTAATCCTTGATGACAGTCTATACTCTATACCAAAGAAATTATCCAGGTGTGAGTGTTTTGTGATGGTTGTGATCAATTGAATGTTGAATGTGCATAGGCAAGTCAAAAAGGAATGATTGGCATTTCACTTTTTTCCCATTGGTATGAGCCTCTCTGCGAAACCAGTGACGAGGACAAAGACGCTGCAAACCGTGCTCTTGATTTCATGCTTGGATGGTGAGTATTCCATGTATTGCTTCATTCATAGTATTTAATAGTAGGTTGAATCATGACTTTGTTTTGTTAAGCATGCATAGTTTGCCTATCTGATAATAAAATTTCATTGGTTGAAGTAAACCCATAAAGAAAAAGTGGGACAAGATCTAGGTTCATTGAAAGTGCTTTTGGATTAAGTTGGCCATTTTCATGAGGTCCTAGAACTATATGAGTTAGAGCCTAAATAAATTTCTTACTTCAAAGAAGTACATGGTAGTCTACATGATATAAGAAAGGTTATTCCATATTTTGAAATTGAAACCTCCAGATCGCAGTGAAATAACCTTACTGTTATGTTACTCACTCTCACTAGTTTCTGTGATACTACTAATATGATCGCTATCTCACTTTGTATATTAGTGTCCAAAATTCCAGGTTACTTCTTGTTAAGTATACCATTCCTATACGACCAAGGGTTGTCCGATGGTTTCCGGTTCGAGTCCCTTAAAGGATACTTGGGTTCAGGAGTAGTGGTGGAGGGAGCATATGCCCGAGGGGGGACTTGCCATCTCTAAATTTTCTGAAATTTCGCAAATATCCCCCCAGATTTTTTACCCTATAGATTAGTGATGCTATAAAAAACTTTGGTGCTTCTCCACCTACCAAATAGAGCCCCAAGAGAAGAACATGAATTCATTCTCTCCTAACAACACAATACCTGCTGTGGGGTATTATTATTGGTGCAAAATACTACTACTAATATAGTTGGTTGTTGTGAGACAGTATTATTGATGCCGTGGCTGGTGCTTTAATTGAAGCTACACTAACTGATATATATGTTGATGGATTGCATCAATTATACGTGCAATAAAAGGAATTAGTGTATTAGGATTGAAAAATTAGTGATTTTTTTATGAATTTTTTTTTCCTTGTTTGCATGTGAAAATTTTATATTTGTTATCTTGGTTGATTTTTTTGCATGTGAAAAATTTATATTTGTTATCTTCGTTGATTTTTTTGCATGTAAACCTTATTTTTTGTGGTTGGTATGTAGTCATTGATCTCCGTTGTTCAAGTAGCTTCGGTTTTTTTTTTTTTTTAAAAAATTGTTTTCATAAAATAAGGTTTAAATTTGATTTTTCAATTTTTTTCACTAGGTTTTTAAAACCCTTGACAAGTGGTTGCTATCCGTCTACCATGAAATCTAAGGCTGGAGAGCGGCTTCAGGACTTGGATGATAAAGAAAGCGATTTGATAAGAGGGTCATTTGATTTCATCGGATTGAACTACTATACGGCCAATTATGCAACTGGAGCACGCCAACCTATTGGTGTAAAGTTCAGTTACATTACTGATTCTCGGGTTAAGTTTACAAGTAATTATAGCCAAACTTTGCATTGTTCAATTACAAAATTTCTAGGGAGCTGATATTAGCATTCCACATTGACCTCAGGCAGTCCACTTTTAATTTAAATAGTTGAAATAACAAGTACCCTTCATCTCCTTAAATGAAGTCTATAGGATTTACTTGGAAAGATGGTACAAAAACGGGGACAAAACAGTATTTCAATTGCTAAATTTAAAAAGTGGAGTTTCATAAGTAAAATTTGACGTGCTAATATCAGCTCCCAATTTCTAATGTATCACTGTAATAAAATGACCACGGTTTTTTGTTTTGGTAGCTGAGCGGAATGGAGTCCCCATTGGTCCAAGGGTAAGACCTTCAAATAATCGACCTCTTTTTTTTGGTTGAAAATTCAAGCATACACACATATTCACAATATTATTCTTAGCAGAAATCAAACTCTCAAATTCTCCTTTAGAGAGGAGAGATGATACCATTTGAGCTAATGTCCATGGTTGGGGGTAATTTACAACTTTAGATAAATTGGGGGTGTTTTCTGTCCAAAAAAAATGAATTTTTTTTTTTTAATTTTTTTTTTAATTTAAAAAAAAAAGAAATTTATTGTAACTTTTTGATAGTACAGGGGATTTTAGTGCAATTTGACCTTTTCTATATATAAATTTAGTAATTATAAATATGCCCCACTGAACCCCTAAAAAAATTCACAAGAGATCTTAAAAAACTTCAAATTTACAAAAAGAAACCTCATTTTCTAACTTATTGGTCCAACATAATTTTCGAAATTCAAAAAAGATCCATGCCTTTTCTCTCACATTATAATTAAAAATAAAATTTTAAAAAAAACCCACTTTGCTATTTGTTCCAAATTTCCTATCATATTAGTGGAATGGTTGCCCCATCTGATTTTTTTTTTTTTCCAACTCCGCCCCTATGGTGCTTCTTTGGCAGAGTTACTTCTACAAAATTATAATGTGGTTTGAATAGTAGTAGTCGATTTTGGTTTCAGTTCACTCAAATAGAATATCAGTTTCTATTGATGACACCAGAGTGGCTTTGAAAACCTATGATGGTATACTCTCTCAGTGTATATTACAGTAAGATCATTAAGGATTGATTTCTAAGTCTTGTCTGCAGGTTTCACTTATTACTGGAAGCTTAATGAATACATTCAGTTGTCATATATAACTGTGGATCTTTTAATATTGTTACAGGGTGCTTCAGATTGGCTCCATATTTATCCGGAAGGGATTTACAAACTTTTGAACTACGTAAAGAAAAACTATGGTAATCCAGCCATTTACATCACAGAGAACGGTAAGTATTCAAAATAATCATTAAATTTCTCTCTAATTTACATTGTGCAATGTTAATTATTATTTTTATTATATTATGACACACCTACGACATGCCCTGGTAAAGTTCGAACTCTCGACCTTCCCATGTGGAGGTGAGATCATACCGTACAAACTAGTGGCTATGTTGGTAATTTTATTGTCATTATCTTTTGTTGTTTTGTAGGGGTGGATGAGGTAAATGATCCCAAATTAACGCTTCTTGAAGTTCGTGATGACAAGATTAGAAGAGATTACCATGACAAGCATCTTCGTTTCATTCGAGACGCTATCAAGTAATTTTGTCATAAAACTCACTGTTTCTTGTGTACATATCCCCAATTGTGCTAAGAAGTAAATTTTATAATAGTATTAATTTATAGAAAAATTTTAGTTGGTAAAGTAAAGAATCATGAGCTCAAGTGTTATTTATTACTATATTTTACTAAAAATAAATAAATTATGTGACTTGGATTTTTGCAGCGAGGGTGTCAATGTGCAAGGATATTTTGCATGGTCTTTGCTAGATAATTTTGAATGGACTGCGGGTTACACTGTTCGGTTCGGTATGATCTATGTAGATTACAAGAATGGGTTCTCAAGATATCCAAAAGACTCAGCAATATGGTTCATGAATCTCCTCAAACAAGACGGTCAAAAATCTCTCAAGGATTCTGGCCCTGACGATTATAAACAGGATAGTTAAAAATCTCTCAAAGGATTATGGCCCTCGTGGTTACTGTATTTGAGTCGATAACTTGGACCTAAAACAATTGTCGGAAGGCTTATCTATCCTTATGTATGTTTCAAGCGAGACCGATGTTTATTACTGAAAACATATATGGGGATGAAAGCCTTTTGACTAGTGTTTTAGGTCTGAAATTATCGGGGTGAGGTTGCATGGTTGTTCGGCAAAAGCTCTGTACTTAAGAATTATTCTGAGAAGGCTCTGTAAGTGTGGTATTTGTGAATTATTTACCACTTTCTTCTATTTTTGGTTGTGATCTCAATTTTATTTCTGGTTTATCTGTTGTTTTATGTATGGAAAACTCAAATTAATAATGATGCAATCAGCTTCCTGACGAATGCAATAATTAGACTTCAAGATATGCACTTCATATTATGGGGAAGGAAAATGATTTTAATGTTGAGGATTTTGGAAGAATTTCTTAACCGAATACTTTTAGTAGGAGAATGTGGGTTTGTAATATGATCGTAGGGTTATATCTAACCGTCGCCATGCAAGGTGTGGATAAAATTTGTTACTCGCCCAGTAGAGTGTTTTTTATTTTATTTTATTTTATTTTATTTTAACACAAACTAACAAGGAAGAAATCAATGAGAAACAACATACTCGGTGAGAAGAGTATTTAATAAACACGAGAGCCATATGCTCCACTCTAAATCGCCACATTTGGCTTTAAAAGCAAATTTGCTCAACAGATGAGCAATACAATTTCCTACACAAGGAACCCAGACAAGGGTAGAACCCAAACACAAACTAACATACCAATATCCTTAAACACCACCTTCAGAGCAGTCGTTGAAGCCTGCAACTTCATAACCGGAAGACAATCTGCTTCCACAGCAACGTTGTGATAACCCCATTGATGAAGCAGAGCTAAAGACTCCCTTAACACAAGACTCTCCGCCATAGACGGGCTGCACACATTGTCAAAGAACACTGAAGCAATCTTGACTGGATATCCTAAATGATTCCGCAGGACCATGCTACGTCCGCAATGCCTCAAGGAAAGGTTGAAAGAAGCATCCAAATTGAGTTTAAAACATCCAACTTCCGGCCCCTTCCACCATGTCGGAAAAGGCAAAACCGACACCGATGTAGAAGGCAAGAACTTTGGACAGTTAACTACTGCCAGAAAATTTTGAAAATCGTGGAGCGCCTGCAGGCTAGCCTCATGCGGATCCCATCTCTTTCAAGAAAAAAAACCAAGTCATTGCGATACTTCCAAATCGTCCAACAAATGTAAGCTCCCAAACCCATGCACTAAGCGGACCGCTCTATCCGACCAACTATCACACAAAGAAATCCACCTTTTAGGCCAAAAAGAATGCTTCTGCCCACTAAAGTCCAGACGAAGAGGACAAAGTTTTCAAACGAGGCATGCAACGGACAAGTGCAAAGAAGAGTTCGCTATTCACCACTCTCTTTATATAATATAAAGATAATATATATTTGTGTTAACGGTATTCTCAACAACCCTAAACTAAGAAGTAAACTTTTTATGGAGCATCCAACTGCATTTAAATAGTATTTGACATTATTCTTCACTTAATTTGTCGAATAAGTCCCAAAATTATATCATTTTTATATGATATATCACACTTCCCACCAGCAATCTGAAATCGTTGGCCAAGTGCATAGACTTTGGATGGACATTGTGCCTTGAATAAAGTTATAGAGATGGGGAAATATATATATATATATATATATATATATAAGAATTTTGTCTAATGCTTATTTATATGCATACCCTCGTCCCATCTCTACTGAATTTTGTCAAATTTTCATTCACATGCGTGGACTTTGTGCATTCAATAAATAATAATTATTTTTAGGTTCATTGTATTTGTCCAAGTTTATCTACTCGACTACTCCACTTGATGCATTGGAGTTACATGAAAGTTTTTAAAAAATTATTAGATAATTTTAAATCATATGCTTGTGATCCTCTGCTGTAACTAGTCCCTACTATAGAGTGAGATTTTTCTGAGAGTTCGTTTTTCATAGATTCATAGTTGTTATTTATAGTAGTAGCTAAAAATTTGTGTCTCCTAAACATACACACATACACACACACACACACACACGTCATAGACTATATAAATATGGCAGTGTACAGGCATTAGTTAATATGTCATTCTAGCAGAATGAACTGGCAATGACTGGTTGATGTTCTCACTAGTAGAATTCAAGGTTCCACATTCTCTTTCCCACGATGCGCCCACCAGTCATTATATAATGCACCGGCAAGATAAACGACCTATTAATTTTTCGAAGTCTTCCTTTTTTGCTCTCAGTTTGAATTCTTTCAGATCTGACCTATGTCACACAAATTTTCTTAGCGGGTGTTGCTCTCACGTTCCGAGCGCGCACTTGTTCTTAAGCTGCGCGCGCATTCTAGCTTAAATTCTCACTATTTATGACTTAATTATACCGCTTTCATACTTTTGCTCTCGAATCTCCCACTTTATGTGACTTAGGATCTAACCAAGTGAGAATTAAAAAAAAAAACCAAATGTCTAGGTATGGTTTTATACTACTAGTTGCTTGATTAATGTGATAGAAATTAATTCCAAATTAAAAAATTTGAGTTTGGATTCTTTAACTATTTTATTCTCCAATCTAAACTCAAATTTATTCAATTAAAAAAGCAACCCAGAAGTCTTAGCGTCACAACTATTTATATATTATGGCTGACTTCAACGAAAACATAAAAAATTTAGCTAGTGAACGATCTTAAATTATTTTTTTAAAATGTGAGTCATTTTTTATTTTATTTTTTGTTTTGATCTTAAATTGTTTCTCCGTTTACCTCCCTCTTCAAAGTCTTCCTTGAGAGTAGGGTGCGGGTCATTCTTAATTCTTCATTTATTTATTTATTATGTTTTTTATTTTTTATTTTTTATTTCTTAAATTTTTTTTAGGCCAATGCTTAGTGTCTTTCCACTATATATACAAGTCAAGATATAGTGAAGCTCAATAACAGTAGCTAGCCAAATTAAAGCAGTTATAAATGGAGTCTCAAAGCAATAAGAGATCAACTAATACCACTGTTCCCCTTAACCGACGCAGTTTTCCAAGTGATTTTGTCTTTGGAACAGCATCTTCTGCTTATCAGGTATACATCTTAGACTTTTTTCGACCCGGGTAATGTTACGATGTTGGAATTGTTTTCTTGCTGATTTCAATAATGTCTAACAAGGACTGTTACAAATTAATCAATAAAATAGAGTTTCTCTTTGTTTAACGTATTTATAGTTCAACGATAGCCACATCAGCTTGTTATAAAAACTAATCGGTACTTTTATCATTTTCCTTTTAACATTGTTCGTATCTTTAGAGTTTCTCGATGTGTTCCTAAATAAGTACCTTTCGGTACATTTTTAACACTTTTTCAAATTAATAGCCTAAACCTATAAACTTTGAAGAGTTAGCTTTAAAATTTTATAAGAAACAATGCGTGTTTTCTTAAAAGTTGAGACCCCTAGAGATAGTGATTTTGTAAATAATTAAATGTTAAAATTAGTATTACATATTTGTAGAGTAATTTTTTTTTTTAGCTCAATTTTGAGCGAATAAAAAACTTTCAAAGACATCGGTTGGGACTTCATCCCTCTTTGCTTTCACCATCTCTTCACTTCCGTCCAATAAAACAAGTGAAGTTTCTTATATATTTCATGTCTTCTATCATTCTTCAATCCTCCCTTTCCGAACGATGAGAAATCATTGGCTACTATAGGAATTTGACAATATAGTGATGTAATCCGATAAGAAATGATTATTTTTTATAAACAAGAAAAATAGTTACTACTTATTGGGTGAGGACACAATGTTCTTTGGTACCCAATACTCATACTAAGTTGACGGTGACCGACTCTCTCACAAGAAATGTGAGCCCCACTTACATACATCCTGTGCCCGACATGGTTGGAAAAGAATTATTCTATTTTTCTATTTTTTTTTTCTTTTTTGTGGTTCAGTTTGAAGGAGCAGCAAAAGAAGGTGGCAGAGGACCAAGTATATGGGATACCTTCACACAAAGACACCCTGGTCTCTTTTCACTCTCTCTCTCTCTCCACACACACACACACACACACACACACACACACACAACTAGCATGTGTATTATTTTGTTAAATAAGTTTTATTCTTGACATTTTTTATGGTGAATTAATGATAGGTAAGATAAAAGATGGTACTAATGGAAACATGGCGGTTGATTCTTACCACCGATACAAGGTATAAAACTCCTCAAACTTTGTGCAACTGTAACCTAATTTGACATCATTTGGGTTAATTGGTCAATCACCTTTTAGGAGTTCAAATATATTTACATCACTTAATTCTATACCACATTGTAATAATGCATTATATTAGTGTGTATATATATTCAAATTTTATATTAGTATATGACATTGCAAGATTTAGCGGAACTTTCTTAATCATGTTGTAGGAGGATGTGAAGATCTTGAAGAAAATTGGTCTAGATGCTTATCGATTCTCAATCTCATGGTCTAGAATATTGCCAAGTAAGTATTGATTTTTATCATCGAAAAATCAAAAGTTAAAGTAATCGAAGGCACAATTTTTGAGACCAATCTGATTTAATAGAGTTTAAATGGATCTGATCCAATTCGTAAAACAATCTGATTGGAATCATATATATTAGTGTTATATATTGGACTTTTACAACTAGCCCAATAAATTATTATTATTTTTTTAATCCAATGTGAAATTGAGATTAAAGAATCTATTAGAATACTATTTATGATTCTCCATCCTTTAATTGTGATAGTCTCCCTGCAGAGCAATTGACAAAGCTAAATCATTGGGGGCTAAAATACATCCTCAATTCCAATTTCCAAATAACAAAATCCTACATTAAATTTCAGTTTCATTAAATCGAAAAACAATCTCAACTATATACAATATTTATATATGTTATATAAGTAATGGATCGAATCAAATTCACAAATCGAATTGTATTTTTGAGATTCAAATTCTTGAATTGATCCAATCCTTCAAAAAAATTTATTTATGAATTCGCTACTGAACAGTTGAGCTAAAAAATCAATTCGTGGTTATGGATCAAATGAACACGCTTATGTAACGGTTTGCTAATCTGGTCATCTTAGTCAAACGCAAATTTGTGATTGCATCATCGGTTTATCATCCTTTAATTAGGTTAATTTTTTTGATTCTCTTGTTCTAACTTTTTTATATGTATATAAATATTGTAATTATCAGCTGGAAGCCTAAGTGGGGGTGTGAACCAGAAAGG